ATTCCCCAGCCAGCATGCTGGTTAGGGAATTCTGGGAGTTGAAGTCCACACAGCTTAAAGTTGCTAAGGTTGAGAAACACTGCTCCAGGCTGAAACAGAAAGTCAGTCTTCAGAAGCAGATGGGTGGAACCAAGAATGGAAGATTTGATAGAATTAGCTCAGATTACGGATGGCCAGACTTTCAGCATGGTTCTTCTTTACCTTTAATGGTTGCACTGGGGAGTTACAGCAGGTGCAAAGGTACTTCAACATTGCTGTTAAAACTACTGGAAATGCTTAGAGCCCTGACACTGCCCCCCCCACCCCTCTTAGCCAGAAGGATACCACGGTCAATGGTATCAGAGGCTACCGAGAGATCAAGGAGAGCCAAGATGGATATACCACACCCATCCTGACTCTGCCACAGGTCACTGAAAGGTGCAACCGGCACCATCTCTGTACTATACCCAAGTCTGAATCCAGACTGGAAAGGGTCCAGTTAATCTGCTTCCTCCAGAACCCTCTGAAGCTGGAGGCCAACCACCTTCCCTAAAAAGGGAAGGTTGGAGACTGGATGAAAACAGTCCAGATCAGCTGGATCCAGGGATTGCCTCTTGAGGAGGGGGTGTACCACTGCCTTTCTCAAAGAGGCATTTACTACTCACTACTTACTTTAAGTCTCCTATATCCCTCAATTGTCTCTTCTAACAAACACTTTTGCCAACACTAGTAGCCACAGATGTGGCTTGGTTAAATTAAAGTTATAGGCTCCCACAGCAAAATATTAATTTCAGAGAGCTGAAATTAAGGGGCCTTTGGTTCGGAAAAAAACAAATCTTGGTTTTCTTCAAGTAATCACCCGAGTGTTTGAAGTACTAGGCATTACAGTAATATCAATGTGGTGCAAGTTGTCAGAGGGAGCTACAAAATTCAAGATGATGGCTGCAACCACATGATCAAAGCCCCGCCCATTTTTTCCACGAGTTCCTTGGGCAGCACATGGAAAAGGGGTGGGGCTTCATTCCTGTGGTTGGGCCACCATCATGACTTTTCTGACCTTCCCTTGGACACCTCTGGACGTGATAACAGAGACTGTCCAGCTGAGCAAGGACATACCTGGTACAGAAGTGAAGATATGGTGTTGATCCTGAAAGCTTTTGTGAGTGGATTTGAATTGACTATTAAAGGATACCCAGACGGTATTGAAATGTTTGGCAAAAAATATGGTGTTAAGTTGACCTGGAAAGTATGCACCACGGTACCATATGCAGAATTTTCTGTGATGTTGCCTGTTGCCGGTAAACCAGAAAAGCTGAGGCTTTCTCCCCCTGCAGATTATGGAGAATAAAAACAGGTATTGTTGAGAAGCATTATTTTAGGGGGCAAATTGTTCAACACATGTACTTTGCCCTATCAATACCTCCCCCCATGTCAGGTTCAGCCCAAAGAACTCCAAGAGACAATGCAAATACAGTTCTGTGGTGTTTATTAGCTACAACCTCCAGAGAGAAAATCTCCCCATACTCAGCCCTAGTTCCCAAGCCAGCCAGCCACAACACCGTGAATTCCTTAGGGAGGTGCCAACCTCATCTTCTTGAACTTCCCACACTCCTGT